GACGGCACCGAGAAGGGACAAAGGGAAGAGCATTAATTTCCCCAGTGTGCCGAAGAGTTTGTATTCATCTCATCCTGTTACCCGCACAGTCCGTGCAAATTAATCCATCCCCAAACACTCCCCTCCGTCACTGCCCAGATGAGGGAGGGGGAGCCGACGCCAAGCAAGAAAGCCTGTCATGATTGGTCATTGCGCATTTTATCCAGTCAGGTAGTAAGAGCTGCAGGATGATGCGAGCACCTGAAAACTAATGCAGCCTTAGGCTGTAACCACAGAGGTAGCAATTCTAGAACAGAGGAGGGGACTTCGCCACACTACTCCAGGGTGGTCAGGCTGTCCCAGAGCCTTAGTTCTGGCTCCCCAATGCCCACTGGCGAGAGTGCAGGTCCAAATGGAGAAGGTTCAAAGATGGACACTCAGGGTCGTCGGGGAGGGACAGGGGTCTGGAACATACCTTGCCGGGCTAGTTGGCGGAAAAGCCTGGAGGAAAGGAAAGGGCATCCAGGGAGTCAGAGGTCAGTTGGTGTAAAGAAGACAGAACAGAATTATCTCAGGATGTATGGATGGAGTGGCTGATAAATGTATTCATCCCTCTCTCCCCATCCATCCATTCACCCATAGTTCATCCGTCTCTGTCTATCCGTCTGTCCATCCATTCTCCACCACCCCCCGCTCACTGGGAGGCAGCACGCAGGATAGTTTGGGGCACCACGTCAGGATGAGTTTTAATGAGGCCGAGCCACAAGGTCTGTCACGTGTTCAGTGTCTTCTGTGGTTACCAGTCACTTTATTACTGATTTGTGTAAACGTAGCAACCTCTCGGAGCCTTGCTTTTCCCAGATGCAAAATGGGGATACTTATACTTAGGCATCTGTGAGCGCCCTACACTGCTGGTGAGTTGCCAAGTTCAGGTGGCCATCCAGACAGGTGTCTGTGGCTGGACCTCCAGCTCAGAGGGTCACAGTGCTGGTCCACTTACATGTTTACCGATGCACATGAGCCCCCCCCACCCCCCGCCGCCACTTCCAAGCCTGGTGGCACCCACTTTGCAGGGAAGGGAGAGCCCAGACAGGATTTGAGGGTATCATCAGCCTCTTGCGGCTCCTTTCCCCTCCTGGCTTTGTGCACAGGAGGCTTGTCCCTCCGCCTCCCATCCACTCTTCCCTGGGAGGGAAGAAGCCTCAGTTCCGCCCTCGCCCTCGGCTGCTGTGGTGGGAGGATCAGGGGACGGCTGACTGCTTCGTGATCCCTCCCCAATCCCCGATAGTCGGGAGCTGCAGAAATAAATGAAACCGCACAGTTGGGGTAATTTGTTAATTTGCTTAAGGAACACCCCCAGTCAGAGACATGACATAAATACGTGAGTGTGGCTCCAGCTCCCCCAGCCGGGGTGGCGCCGAGGGGAGCGGGTGGGCCGGACGGGTGACGGGCGTGGAAACCTCGAGAATCCGAGCTTGAAGGTGGCAGGCAGAGTCCGCGCCTTGTCCCCCGAATGCAGTGTGGGGAGGGGCTCAGTGAAGGCCCCCAACTGACTCTGTGGCCTGGTGGCCCTGAAGGCATCAAGAGTCACTGACCCAGAGGTGTGGGGTCAGCTGGACCGACGCCCAGGGTCACCTCCCCTGCTCACCTGCCGTGGGACATGGGCAGATTCCTGACCTCAGAGCCTCATTTTCCCGTAGCTGCAGAGTATATCTCGGAAGGTTCCGTGGGGATCAGAGAGGGACCAGCTGTTACCCGGGGTGGCTGGCCCGACGGTGGGGTCCGGGAGATGGTGGTCTTCCCTGCAGTGTCCTCCACGACCCTTCCCCAGCTGCTCGGCATGAGGGGAGTGAGGCAAACACGTCTACCCCTGTGCTCCCGGGGCTCTCTGGCTTCGGGGAGCAGACACGCAGCGCCCCTGGGCCGGCGCAGCAGGGTGGGCGGTGATAAAAGTAGGTGGGGAGGCAGAGGGCCCTGAGAGCCCACCCCCGCCTGACTGGCGGCACTGAGGGCCAAGGGCCAAGCCTGTTCCCTGCAAGTCTCCAGGGAGGCAGCAAGGGCCAGAAGCCAGACGCTGCCGGGAGTGGGCAGGAGCCCTGGCCTGAGTGACATGGGCTGAGTGTAGGGACAGGTGGGGACTGGGGGAAACTGACTTCCACTTCCGTCCTAAGGGAGGCACAGACCCGCAGCATTGACCCGGCAGGATCATGAAATTTGCAAATCGATTGATTGATTGTTAGAAAACAAAGAATGGCATTTTATTGGGAATTTTTATATATATATTTTTTATGTTGGCAACAAAGTTACATAAAAAGGTTATGCCAAACGACACGTGTCCGGGGCCGGGTCTGGCCTGCAGACTCTGGCCCCGGGGAGCCGCCGCTGCCTGCGAGTCGCAACTGGACATGACACATTGTGCGTCTCTGCTTGGCGCCTCCGGAGATCCCAGAATGGTCTTGTGAGGCAGCGTTGTTCTTCCGCCGTACAGGTGAGGAAACTGAGGCACGCGGCTGGCTAGTGGCAGCGCTGGGTCTGTCGTTGCCTCAGGGCCTACCAGAGTTGGGAAACACCCAAGAGGGGAAAACACTCTTTTCTCAAACTTGGGAGGGACTCTGGGGTGGCTGATGAGGCTGTGTGAGCAAATTAGGGCTCTCTGCCAGTTTTTCAGACAAAACTTCCATCTTCCCCTCTTCCTGCCCCCATGGCTGGGCTGGGAACCAGGTGGCCATCCACCAGCCACGGAGCTCAAGGCTGGACGGGATAGTGTGTCCCAGTATCCGGGTGGGGGGGGATTGTGGAGAAGGAAGTGTCTAACTGGGTTCTGGACTGTTCTGTTTCCTTGCAATGAGAATATAGTAATTGTAGTTACAGTCCCTGAAACATTGTTGTGTTGCTGTGTATTGTGATGGTGATTTATTGTTTGCCGGGAGACCCGCCCTGCTCCCTAGAAGGCCTAGGGGGAGTCGAGTCTGACCACATGTCGATCACACATGATTCAACATTGCGGGCGTCAGTTCTCAAGGCAAATAGTCCTTAGAATTTGGGGCATTTTTGGAATTGGGTTCATGACAAAACACAGCAGAGGATGTAGGGTTTCATGTCACAGTCAAGGGTGGGAAGGCCCCGGGGAGCCAGTCATGGGGAACGAGGCTCCGTGAAGCCTGGGGAGAGCACAGAAATCCTTAGCCCCCAGGAAGGGGCATTCCCCAGGCACACCTGCCTTGATCAGAGGGGAAACTGAGGCTCAGCGAGGTTAAGTGACTTGCTCAGGTGACAGAGCCAGGATTTGAACCGAGGTCAGCTGGCCCCAAAACTGAGCACTTTACCCTGTATCTGCTCGGGGGGCGGGGGTGCGGTCATGGTCACCCAGGATCAGAGAAGAAGAACTGAGGGGTGGGTCTCCACCAGCCAGTCTTCTCTGTGTGCCAGGATCTGGTGGGGGCGGAGGGGGGGGTCGATGAGGATCCATGGGAGGCTGCTCTTTCACATCACCTTGGGCGTCAGGACAGAAGGCCAGTGTCGGGGCGTGGCCGTGGCCTTCAGTGTGTCAGGACAGGGCTCTATGACCTGGGCTTGTTGGGGGCGCTCTCCTGGGCCTCCCCAGGCAGGTGGAAAGTGTTGGGGGTCACACGGGGCTGGCTCTGAATTCCCGCTCGGCCACCTCCAGGTCCTGTGGCCTCCAGCACACCACCGCACCCAGCCGTGCCCCCAGCCTCAGTTTCTCCCTCGGCACCGTGGCCCGGCTCAGGGCTCAGTGCCCGGCGCATATGCGTGCGCTCCGGCAGCCCTCTGGGATCATGTGAGCTAGTCATTCGCGCTGAAGAACTGGACACAGAAGTGACTCTCTGCTGACACAGGTGATGGTGGAGCTTAGTGGCCCTGCTCTGGCTCCTTCAGAAACCAGAATTCAGGCATTTATAAGTTCCGTCTATGGCCACGACTGCTTCTCTGTGGAATGGCCATGGCGCGTCACAGTGAGCCTGCTGGACGCTCCTATCTGAGGCCTGGGACCGGGCTGCGGTGTTCATGAACCCCTTGGCGCTCGCCTGACCCACGGGGCCCGCCCCTGCTGGGAGGGGCTGGGAGAAGGGCTTGAGCCTCCGGGTTGGTTCACCCGCAACTTTTCATCCAAATCCAGATCACCCACAGGTGCCATCACGGCTCTTTCTCCAGGCGTGGGGAGCCCGGCAGTGGAGGCTGGTGGGAGACGGAGTCCGAGCCTGGGGTCAGGCAGGCTCTGAGGAGCAGTGGGGGCCCGGGGTGGGCGGCAGTTTACTGAGTCCGAGGGGCTATGCTAGTGGGGGTGGCTGGGCTGGAGGCCTCCGGGAGGCAGCCCCCACCCCTGCTCCGGGCATCTGCAAGGTGGGGCCCCGGGGCAGGAGGCATGATGTGGAAGAGCTGCCCAGGCTTCTGCACAGAGCGAGGCTGGAAGGACCCCATGACTGGTTCAGTGCATGCTGTGCAGAGACAGCTTTGCTTTCATTGCACTTGGGCTTGAACTTCAAATTCCGTGGTGGGCCCTGGGATCTTCCCCAAGCGTAGAGTCTCCAGGGGCTCCGCCGAGAACTCGGCATTCCTGCTGGAGCGTGGAGGCTACTGAACTAGGCCCCCACGTGGCGAGGGACGGCGAGGCGAGGGGAGCAGGCCTGCGGGGTCCGGGTCAGGGTCTCCTTTCAGGGGAAAAGTCCCCCAGACAGAGTAAATGGAGGCGGGCAAGTCTGGAGGCTGGAGGCCAGGCACGCTGCAGCTCAGAGGCCTGGAGGCAGTTGTGCAGGCCCCTCCCGTCGGCCTGGGCTCTGGGGGCCTGTCCCCGAGCCCCGCCTGGGTGAGCTGGCCGCAGGGAGGATGCTGGGGCTGGTCCGAGGGCACCCACTGGGGAGCGTGCAGCAGGAGCTGCCGTGCCAGGGACCCCAGCGGCTGTCGCCTGTCCCTCCCCGCCGCCCCCACCCCCCAGGCCGTGTCGTGGCTTTCAGAAGGCCAACGGCAGTGCGCTGTGTGTGTGTCTGTGTCCACCCCTGCAGGGAGCTTGCCCTACGAGTACAAGATCGTGATTGCCGGCAACCACGAGCTGACCTTCGACCAGGAGTTCATGGCCGACCTCATCAAGCAGGACTTTTACTACTTCCCGTCCGTGTCCAAGCTGAAGCCAGAGAACTAAGAGAACGTGCAGTCGCTGCTGACCAACTGCATCTACCTGCAGGACTCCGAGGTCACCGTGAGGGGCTTTCGGGTCTACGGCTCACCGTGGTGAGTGCGCCTGTCTTTCCCGACCTCGCGGATGCGGGGGCTTGGGGGGCGCTGGAGGAGTCGAGGCTGAACACGCAGAGGGAGGTGGGGGCTGGACAAGCACCGGGGAGCTCCAGACGGCTGCTGGGAACTGAATCTCGGCTCTCCCCTCACCCGCTGTGTGACCCCGGGCAGGTCACTGCTGCTCTCTGAGCCTCGGTTTCCCCATATCTAACTGGCAAGTAGTTATATCCTCTGTGCTGTACTGTCTCACACACAGATGGGTACTGTCATCATCCCCACTCTCCAGGTGAGCATGTGAGGCACAGAGAGGGTGAGGATCTTGCCAAATGTCACACAGCTTAGGGAGGGGGCAGAGGTGGGATTAAACCCAGGCTTTCTGGTTTCAGAACTCGTGCTTTCAGCCATCATTCTATATGCTAGGAATCTCCCTATTGTCATGTCCCATGACGCACACACGAGGCACAGGTAAGGGTGACGATTGATCAGCCAGGCTGAGGAAAGGCAGCTGGAATTTTCGAGGAAGGCCCAAGACCTGGGTTTACTGTGCTGTTTTAATCACAGTGCACATCAAACCCTTCTTCTCTGCCGGGCGTACAGAGCAATCAGGCCTCGTCCCCGTCTTGGGGATCAAGGTGAGAACGAGTTGTGACTGTTCGTGTATGGTCAGTGTGTCCATCAGAGCCCCGGTGATGATGATGGTGATGACTGTGATGGCCGTTACAGTGGTGGTGGTGGTGGTGGCGGTGGCAGCGGATCGTTCCTGAGCAAACTCAGGAAGCTGGTCCCTGGGCTGAGGTCTCCATAACCACTGTTTCCAATTCTTACTCGGCTCTGAGAACTGATTCTTGGCCCCATTGTACAGGTGAACAGATCAAGTGTTCTTAGAGGCCCAGCTGGCAATAGCCACAGGGTGCCCAGTGCTGACAGGGTGAGGGGCGACCGTACACAGTGGGGAGAGACACATGTCCTTGAAAGTGAGGCATGATCCCGGAAGTCTCCTTGGAGGAGGTGAGGTGAGGTTATGAGGGAGGGGAAGGGCCTCCACACTCACGGAGGGGTAATGGGGCCCGAAGCTGCACCATCAGAGCCAAACACGCAGGGAGGCCGAGGGGACCGTATGGGTGCAGGGCCTCCAGGGAGAGCTGGGCAGCGTCTGGGAAATCGCTGGGCCGCCTGGCGGATGCCACACGGTGACACCGGGTGGCCAGAGGCTGCAGGTGGGTTCAGGACCTCGTCTCATCTTGCCAAGGCCTCCTCATGGGGCAGAGGGAGCACACGGGCTGTCCCACTGTCCCTGAGCCCCGGGAGGTGCCTGCTGTCGTCTCTGTGGTCCTCACCGTGTCCGGGGTCTCCGTGACCTCCCCGCAGCCTCTGAGGACTGCTGGGCACTGGGGACACGAGGGGCCAGTGCCGAGGACAGGAGCCGAGAGGAGGCGGCTGAGTCTGCCCTGCAGGCCGCTGGAGCCCGGCCTTGGAGGAGGAGGTCTGGCTGGGGCGGCAGAAGGGCCGGAGCGTGAGGCCCACGATGGCTTCAGGCACCAGACCGGCCAGCCGGGGCCGCATCTCCTTGCCCAATGTCCTCAACAGCCCCTTGCGCCTACACCCCCCACATACATACACAGCCTTTGTAAAAGCGCTATGTTCTGTAGGGATTCATCGTGGGCTTTGGGACCAAACTGCCTGGGCTCAAATCCTGGCCTCGCCTCTCATGGGCTGTGTGACCCTGGGCAAGTCACTTCACCTCTCTGTGCCTCAGTTTCCTCCCCCGCAGAATGGGAGTGACGGCGCACCTCCTGCAGAGGGCGGTGGTTCTGAAGGTGTGGGGGGAGGGCGTTCAGGCCAGCCTGGTGGCAGCGCCGCCAAGTTCTCCATGAACTGAGACCCCGGTGCCACCAGTTGTCCCGGAGGCCAGCCTTCCAGCACCGCCTTGGCCAGAACCCAGTATGTGGGATGGAGGACATGCGGGGGATGGGAGTGGCAGGTGTCACTCAGCGTCCACCCACTTCCGCCCAGAGCAGCTGTGTGTACCTGGTGGCTGGTGGGTGAGTGGAGGGCCAGGGCCTTGGGCCAGCCCTGCGGTCCCCTCTGCCAGCTGGAGGCTCGATGTCGGTGCCCCCGAGGCCCGAGAGACGCCAGCTGTTGGTGCAACTGCTCTGTGCTCGGGCCGTCAGTGGCTCCTGTGTTTGCTTCTGTGGCTTCCGGCGTGGACAGTTCTAGACCGTTTAGTTCTGGTTCTCCGGGGGCCTTAGCGCTTTCTCCTTGCCCCCGCTTACCTGTCGTCCTGGCTGGGGGCACACCCACTGCCCGCTGCCACGAGGAGCCCAGGACTGTCTGCAGGAGAGGGAGGGGGCGCAGGACAGAGAAGGGACCCGAGGAGGCCTAGGTGAAATCCAGGAGGGCTCCCTGTGGGAGGGGGGATTTGAACTGGGGTTTCCGCAGGTGGAGAAGGCAAGAGAGGAGCCGTATTTGTGAACTCCGCTCCGTGCTAGGCTCCAACAGACCCCTCGGGTTGCTGTTTCACAGCCCTCAATGCTGAGGCCTAAATGGTACCTCATCTGTGCTCCATGTGCAGGCTGGGCGCTGGCATTCCAGCAGCTTCCCTGGTTTCCCTGAGGCCCCACCCGGGGCTGGGAGCAGACGGCAGGAGTCGCCGCAACAGCAGTGGCCCGTCTGTTCGTTGGTACAGGAAGGGCTGTTCAGATCGGGGCACCTTGACCGTTTAGCTGTGGGACTTTGGGCAAGTGCTTTGGCCGCTCTGGTCCTTCTGTGTAGTGGGGAAACGACACAGTGAGGTCTGTGTGGGCCCAGAGTGAGGCCCTGCAGGTTGACTGGAATTACTGTTACCGGGGAGCCCCTGGGGTGGAGGCCGGGATGAGGATAGCTGTTCTCCAGCTGATACCTCAACGGCCCCCAAGGCAGGGCCAGAACTCTAATGATCCCATTTCACAGAAGGGCAAGTAGAGGACCGGGCTTGCCCAGCGCCACCTGACGACTGGTTGTCTAGACTCCTAGTCTGGGCTCTTCCTGTTCCAGGTTAGAGGCCACCCAGTGTCCTCGTATGAACACCTACTACGCGCCAGGCCCAGCACCGCAGGTTCTCTCTGTGTTCCTTGGTTCTCCCAAAAGCCTTCTTATTGGCCCCGTGAGGATAATGCGGCCAGGGGACCCAGCTGATGCCCTCCCGGGGACCCGCTACCTGCCTACTTCATTTGTCAAGGCTTTATCGAGGGCCGCGCACTGATCTAGGTCCTGGGGACGTGCTGGGAGCCAGACAGGTGCAGCTCCTGCCCTCCCGGGGTTGATGTCCTCGTGGGAGGCACGTGAGGGCCCAGAAGGGCCAGGGGGGCAGGGGCTGAGGAGCACGGGTGGCCCCTGGGGGAGGGGAGCTGGGGAAGGGGGTGACAGGTGGGGGGAAGAGCTCAGGCAAAGGCTTGAGGGGCCGTGGGCGTTCTGGGCGCCGAGTGCGGCTGGGGGTGCGTTGCGGTGGGAGAGCAGAGGCCCTCCGCCCTGGGCGCTCGGCTCTCAGTGAGTCACAGCTCCCTCTGCCTGTCACCCTGTGTTATCATTCCACGGGGACCCGGCACATCACAGCTGAGGCCCGGAAGGGAGGCGGCGCTCAGAGGAGCAGGACTGGCTGTCAGCCACGTGCTCATCCTCTGGGCCCGGACACAGCAGATGCATCTCTGGGTTCTGCCTCTCGCTCCATGTCTGACCCGGGGAGTCTCGCCTCTCTGATCCTCAGGGGCACCCGAGGAAGTGACATGAACCCGCCCCTGGGAGGGTACTCACGGCCGTGGCTGTTCTGCCTGGTGCGGGGGGTCGTACGCCACCCCCCACTGTCTGTTGAGGCTTAGCCCCCAGCTCCAGCCGCCTGGGCACACGGTAAAGCTTGTGGCAATTATTACTAAATTCAGATGTTTGGGTTTTCCTTTCTTTTCCCTGCTCTTTACATGTGGACTAACAAGGAGATGTTCTCTCCAGCTTTAGATGCACAGTTATACCAGCGCGGGGATCAGGGACTGAATAAAGCACTAGCCACGAGTGACCTCACAGCACAGGCCTCAGGAGCACATGGGCAAGGCTGACCCAGGTTGAGAGGCAGACCTATTTAGTGTGACCCTAGCAGGCACCTCAGGGGTGCAGAAGGCAGAGAAAAAGGCAGGAAGACAATCCCACAGGCAGGAGCGCAGAAGAGAGGGGGTGTGACCTTCCTGAGGGGTGAGCTGCCCATCACAAGGGGCATGCAAGCACAGATCCACTGTGTTTGGGGCTGGGAGGCCTGCGCTGCTGATCCCCAGGCAGAGGGGGGCGCTGGCGCGCTCTACACTTGGTCCTGCACTTGGAGGGAGGGCAGCACGCCCGGGCTGGCCTTGACACTGAGGACTCTCCAGGACCAGCTGGGAAGGGGACACAAAGGAAACTCGCGGTTGCCGTGATCGGCTTTTCTCCTAAGTGCTGCCGTCAGGAGATGCTGTGCTTGGGAGGGAAGGGTTCTGGCTTCCCATTGGGCCGCGCACCCTGAAGGCCACAAGCCCCCTGCAGGGCTCTGGAGACCCGGAAATGGATCAGGCCTGGCTCTGCCGTCGGGAGCTCAGGAGATGAGGTTGGGGGAGGGGAGGGTAGCAATCACTGCTGGCCCAGGCCAGTCCCGGCCGCACGCTTGCCTGCAGGTTCCCATCAGCCCTTGCTGTGCCCCTCCCCCCTCCCCCCTCCCCCCACGACGGGGCACCGTTACCAGCCCTGCCCTGCAGCAGGGGTCGAGCCAGAGAGGATCATTGAGGAGCATGTCCCATGCCACCTTTGGGACACACTTACACTGAGAAACTCCCTGTGGTTTATCTGAAGTTGAGCCTGAACAGGACGCGCCGTACTTCACCTGGCCACCCTGATCCTGAGACAGTGTGGCTCTGCCTGGCTTCTCACTGCTACGCTAGGCATTGCATCGTGTCCGCTTTTACGCTCAGTATTGTGTCGTGCTGTGCTTTATTTATTTATTT